GAAAAACTTACTTTGGACAATTAGCAACCAATTTACATACTGATTCATCTGTAACTTCCCAACAACTTGTTAAATCAACATATTCTAAGTTTTTACATTCTAAAGCAAGTGACATTATTGCTGTGGCACTAACCCAATGACAGTTTTGCAGTGATAATTTTTTTAATCCTCGGCACTTAGTTGCTAAAATTTGTAAATTTAAATTAGTGAGAGCAGAACAACCAGAAATATCCAAATGCACAATACTTTCATTTGTCTTCAATACTGGTGTTAATAAATCACTATTTAACCATTTACAATTCCTTAAAATCAAAAATTGAATGTAAGAATTATTCATTGAGATAATTTGAAAGGCTTTGGCATTAAATTGTCCACTAACTATAGAGAGATCAATAGATTGACATGATCTGAAATACTCTGTCACCAAACAAAGGACTTCACTTGATACACGTCTTAGACGAAATAAATCTTTCCAATTAAGTAATGGTAAAAGATAAACAAATAAAACATCGTTCCATGGAATGTTTAAGAGAGATATAACAGCTTTTCTTTCTTCATCTGGCATTTTTTATTCTGAAAAACATTAAATCTATTTAAATTTTGAAATTCATTAAATAAAAACTTGATTCACTAAAAAATATATAATTTTAAATCAGGACTACAATTATTATTATTTTAATTAAAAATTAATTTAGTTATAATTCAAAATTTATTATAAAAATAATTTCAATATTGATAACTTATAAATTCACTTTCTTTCAATTTGACTAATATGTTTTGTATTTTTCTCCCCCAAAATTTCTAGAATTAAATATATTATGGAAAAATAACCTTGGAGAATGCTTAATGAGGAAATAAATAAATAAATAAGCAGACAAGAAACACAGATGATGTCAGAAGCTTTTTCTTTCGAGAGATGTTTGAAAATGTTAAGAAAATTCTTGAATGCATTTTCTTTTTCAACTAGTTACTTAGTTGGCCAGATGGCTAAGACAGTTAAAGTATTAACTGACTGCTCTGGGGACCAAAGATTGAAACTGGTTAGGTCAAAAAACTCCCAGAAACTTTTTGGGGTAGTCTAATCTGGATAATTCAGGCCTCATCTCTTGTCACTTGGCTGCTTCATTTTTGGTCCAGCCAAATCCATAATGGGCTTAAAAAAACTCACTGCTTAATTAAATGATTTATATTTAATCATTTGTGGATCTGGAATTCTTTCTTCTAAATAAAAATTCCACAATATTGAATATAAAAAGGATTAAACTATTAATAAGTAAAACTTTTTAATGAAAATTAAACAACATAATCAAATATTATANAAAAACTCACTGCTTAATTAAATGATTTATATTTAATCATTTGTGGATCTGGAATTCTTTCTTCTAAATAAAAATTCCACAATATTGAATATAAAAAAGATTAAACTATTAATAAGTAAAACTTTTTAATGAAAATTAAACAACATAATCAATTATTATAATTATATATTCAATATATATGAGGTCAAACAGTTGATCCTATATAATAATAATATAGGAAGATCAATTATGAATATCAATTAATACAAACTTTTTTGGTTCTCTTGAATCTCCAATATTAAACTTATGCTAAAATGTTCGGATGTTACAAAGTATTACAAAGTATATCAAATTAAACAAAAATTTGCACTCGTTAACATATCGCTGTGCTAAAAATAGATAACAGGATAAGAAAAAGCCAATTTTATTGCTTAAACTTGAATGTCATACAAATTCTCCCAAGAAAAGACTTTAAACCTTCCAACTAAAAATTTATTTTAGCTACTCCAGCAATCCAGTCTGACTTCTTTCTGCTTTAAACGTTCAGGCCTATGACTAATGTTGGGTGATCAAAATCAAAGATACTACTTTATTATCCCCTTTTGCTTTCATTAAGGAACTACAGTAGGTCAGTCAGGTTATCAACTTGTTCCTCTAAACTTCAAAACAATAGAACCATATCCCATTCCTATTGCTCTATGCCAGTGACTGTCTGATCTCAACAGCTGTATTGATCAATTTCAAACAAACAATAAACCAAAAGAGAAAGACACTATCATTGTGCTTGAAATTCAGTTTATTCTGATTTTACCTTTTTGAGAAAAGACAGAGCAAGCTCATTGCAGTGTGCTTTTGATCACAATGTCTGAGTCTAGATGAAAATGAAAAAATTTGTCATTGAAGACAAAGATAGAGATCATTGCAATCTTTCTCTTGTACTGTAAATAGCAATTCTGTTTATATATCTTGCTTTAGTTTTGTTTTTATCATTAAAACACAAAGCTGAATGCTATCTGGTTAATTAATAAAAACTGAAAACAATAAATCATTATTTTTAAAATATCTTGTTATATTAATATCCTTATTTCAAGAGTTGTCTAGATACAAGTGTTGATAAAAAAATAAAATCTCCTACTACAGTGGTGCACACAAGTTTTAATCTTCAGGGAAGAGTTGAATGGATAAAAATTTTTAATGCAAACTCAATAAAATTCTCACCTTATGTGATTGCTAATTCATAAGTAATATAGAAATAGAACACATGATACAAAAATAAATTTTAATTAGTAAATTTTCCAAAATTATTTTCCTAGTGTTTCTTTTCCTTTTACTTTGGAGAGTGCCAAGACCCCATTGGCCCATACCTTGAGTGAACCATTGTTCTACTACAGTATTACATGGAGTTTGAGGCAGAATGCATAACCATCACCATTTGATAGTCATGAGTATCTAGTTTGTATGTGTGAAGTCTCAATTTGTTTGTTGCATCCAGCTAAGTCTCATCATATTAGAATAACAAGTGTTGTGTTTATATTCAAAATTCCTAACATTACACAAATTTTAGAATATTAACAAATGTCCTTAATTTTATTTTTATATAATTCTCTTACTTAAATAATTTTTAAAATATTTTTTTTCATACAAAGCAGTGTCAGTAATTAAATTTTTAATATTGAAAAGTTGTATTCAAACAAGAAACAGTCAATTCAATGAAATAATATAAAATCTTATGAGTATTTGAGATGTATTTACACAATAAGACTAGGGGAAAACAAAAACTTTTCTTATGCTGTATGCAAAACTGACTACAGTAAGGAAAACAGTAAAAAGGGTAAGCACTTGAAATTACATAGTAGTCCATACTTTTATTATAACTCAAGTTTGACATCATTAAACTTATGGTTGTTCCTAAGAATAGAGTGAAAGTTCAAGCTACTGCATAGGAATGGATTAAAGAAAAATAAGTTTTTTCATACATAAAGCACAAGGAGGAATTGATAATTTTAATATATGTGTATATATTGGGTTGTTCAGAAAGTAAGTTTGTTTTTTTTTCATGGAAAAAAACACAATATTTTTATAATAA